CGTTTATTAAGATGCGTGAAAGCATATATAGGTCGATGCATACACATATTTCACATAACTTTGCTGACATATATCCAGCGGTGGCGTGGTTCTGATCGCATCGTGACTTGTTGTGGTGATATCGTACCACCACGTGCTCCAATACCTAGAGGAACCACGCTAATATTTAAAGAATTCAATCCATCCTACGACAAATATCGCTTCTCACATTGTCAAATTTTTAGGCCACCTCGTGTTATATACGGCGTATCACGAGCTACTAGTTTACTACTAAAGACAAGCTTTAATTATTTGCAAACGCGTCAGCTGTACATTGGTAGGTCAAATATACCTCCTATGTGCAGGTACTATCGTCTCCATGCTGGTTTCGTTCGGCATATCTGCCGGGCTATTCTGCTGGCATGCAGCACTTCTAAGAATTCATTTATGGCTTTGACATTCTTCAGCCGTGGGGTGCAGTTCTTATACCAACTATGTCTATAGGCTGACAATTTTTCTTACAATGCATAAATATATATATACTTCCCCACTCGAAGGCATAGGGAATACTCTCCCAATTCAGCAAACCGAACTACACATGCAGTATCCCGCTCGAGCATGCGCATAGTAAGTGCTCCTTCTTATTTATACTTCCGTGTATACTCAGACTTTTTTTCGCATGCGCCTACGCACAGGGTAAACTCCCCGGAAAATGTGTATCTGCCGAGTACAAGAAGGAGTACGGGGTGGACGTGTTTGAGATCCAGGAAGGAAGTGTCACCGAGGGCCAGACTGTGGTGGTAGTCGATGATCTGCTTGCCACCGGTGGAACCCTCAAGGTACTCGTACATTCATTTATAACTTTGCCACTGTGATCTTTATGTAGTGTATGTCCATAAATAGTCCCACAACGAACCGGACAGCTTGACGTAGATTGACGTATTAGCTACCAATGTAGTAGAATCTGAAGTCAAAAGCCGTGTTAGTGACATCGAATGTCGAATAAGTAGAAAATTCTGGGTGTTTTTTTTCTGTGCGGAAGTCTATTTCTTGAAGCGAAATTAAGGTGTGTACAACTAGCGCATCGCACGCCGCCGTATACTATGTCTGAGCTCGCTGTTTCTTGCAAGTATTAATCCTATTTTGATTGCTCGGTGGTTGAAAGGGTAAGTGTATGGATAGAGAATAAACCCATAAAGTACACAAACACGTTAACACGTTGATTGTGTCTCGGTTAACCATGCGTCTATCTGCGCACAAATTGTTATTCATTAAGAGCCTGGCATGACCGGTTTTTTTCTTCTATTTTAAGCAATATCTACATATACATATGCGTATTAGTTCAGTATACATACATGTAAATGGTGCTAGAAAACATTGTGTTTTCCCTGTGGTCCTCACCTTTTACGTGTCGTGACTTTGTT